ATGGTAGAAGATTTAGAAACCCTTTATGTTTGAATGAAGTGAAATTGAACAGAGACTGAGACAAGTTAAAATATATTTTTGTGATGTTGTTGTGTCTCTTTATATACTACCATGTACCAAGATTTCTTGAAAATCACATCGTTTTTCTAGAATTGTAAATCTGGGATTCTATTGCATACAACATTTCCTTAAAAATCCAAGTTGTTTTAAACAAATTATTACATATTTCCTTTTTAGCCAATAAAAAATGTAGTTCAAAATAAGTTGTAAACTATTAGTTTGTGAAGTACGTATTACGTCAAAATAAGTTTTAAATTATTAGTTTGTGAAGTACGTATTACGTCAAAATAAGTTTTAAATTATTAGTTTGTGAAGTACGTATTACGTTTACTGTGACTTCAAAGTAATCGCTCTGCTAATTTATGCAACTTTGACTCTGGGCATCCTCCTAATAATAGGAATATTGCAGTAAGTTATGTATATATACATTTTAAGTAGTGTATATTTGTTTGGGTGTGTGTGTACAATAATTTTCGTTTCTTGCAAGTAGCGATCTTGTGATTAGTCAGGAAGTAGTAATATGCTTCTAGTAATAACGTAATAGAAATTATGTTTATTTACGTTGCTAATATCCCGTTTTCGAGATCATATTTTGTTACTCCATCAGTCATTATGCCCATGAATCATTTATGTCATTGGATCATCAATTACGTGCACTCCTATGTACATGATGTATAAATACTTGCCTAAATAAATATACAAAAACCCGAACATACACAAACATGTATGACGATAATAAATAATGATGTCGTCTGATGTCTTGATCATGAGTAACGAACCGAGAGTCATTAGTAGCTTGGAACATGGTTTTCTTTATCGCGTAGACAAACTGCTGTCGTGTCAACTCGCTCTACATCTTTACACAGAAATTAGCAAAACTTAAGAGCTGGAAAGACAAGCACGATCGTAAATTATAAAACGTTAAGGGGACCGGAAGAGAGTACGAGAGGTGTACTGGTTTGTATAGATTTTATTTGGCACTTAACCAGCACTTTCACATGGGCTCTTCTTGTGAGTCGGGAGCTTAATCTGTGTTACACGTTACACGCAACTTTGCAGGAAACATTGCGAGATCGTGCAGTGTGAAAACATTATCTATATAAATAAAACACTTCTACCGTAGTTTACATCAAGGCTATTAATTTAGACACGAAGCATGTCCTCGTGCGTGAAAAAACATATTCGTTGTTGTGTATAATGATCCAGCATTTATCTAAATTTGAGAAATTTCTTCAGGTATACACACGCATGCGTAAATATCAAAGTTAGAATTTCATTTCGAAAAAGTAAAACGCAAGAAAACCAAAAAAAAACCTTCAATAAAATGTTGCTTCATGTTTGATCGTTAATTCCCACCATCTAGAACATAAAATAAAAAATTTGTAAGAAAGCTAATGAGACCAAAGATGACTAAGCCAATAAATACTACTTTTAGAAAAATGTTAATTGGCTTTTGTCTTCCAAATGGCAATAGTGTTCGCTACTGTTATTGGGTCTTGAATGCCAATTAAAAAAAAAAAAATGAGTATTTATTTATTATTGCCGGCTGCCTGTTTTTTGTAACTTGATTTATTTGTATTATTTTCATTTTTATTTATTATGTATTTTAGTCGGAGGAGCTACTTTGCAACTACTGGTTGGAATCGGAAGTTTTAGGTGTGTCACGTTGTGGCTTGAGCAACTGTGTCTAGTCCTAATTTTTAAACTCGGTGTTTTTAGTTCTAGCTTCATTTGACACGTGAAGCTTGTGAATAGAGTTAGATACGATAGACAGTGTTAGATGAGGAGATAGATCTTTGACACCAAATTACCAAATCAATAAATAGAATTAGCTCAATCAAGTGACGTAAACCAAAAAATTGGTTGAAGATGATAACTTTTAAACGTCCACAGTCATTCCTCTTTTCGAAATTACGCGGAGGTTGAAATGCGTGAAAATATTCAGCGATTGACAAGGTTCTGGAGCGCATTATTAAAAATTCCCTATTTTTATGTCATAAAACACTAAGAAAAGGCTTCATGCTGGAAATATAGGCATAAACAAAAATAATAATAGAGAAAGAGAACGTACAGACAAATTAACGGATAAACAAAGAAAATATACAAACAGAGAGAAAAATAAAACGAATAAAGACTTGTAATACATAGACGAACAGGTGGAAACAGAAAGAGATCTTAACAAACAGATCAAACTCTAGACAAATGAAGTGCAAAATAAACGGAAAATATGCATTGAAAAACAAAGACGTAAACAGACATGTAAAGATACCAACAAATTAACAACTAAAGACGGATATACTGTTTATAACTGTTCATGAAATAAAATGATTATTCCTGTTGACACTAAACAAACTTTAATATGACTGAGGTTTAATTGTATTGGAAACTTGAAACAAACAAAATAAGCTGTTACTCATAATCCACTAATAAAAGCAGTATGACTATAATACTGATACATTTGCAAAACAAAAAAAAAATATAAAAATGAATAAACTCTCCTTCTGTTGTATTTACAACAGCACATTAGTGTTTTGATGAGAATCTCCATTAAACATTTAATGATGAAAATGAGGGCAAAAAGATGTGTTTTCTACTCTTTATCTTCAGTCATGTGGGTACAGATTTGGTTGTTATTTACGTAAATTTTAGAATTCCAAAATGAATATGTTTCGTAAATTTCTCGGTCTTATTTCACTTATTGAATTTCATTTCTCACTGTATGCGCAGTGGTGATTTAGTGTGATGTATAAAAGTCTATATCGTATCAACAATGGGTTAGCCATGAATTAAATCAGACCAGCCATGTTTATCAACTCGAACAAGTGATTTAGTAACATATTCTTCAGTTGCTTCATTTAAAAATTTATCTACATAAAAACTATTAAAACTGGGAATTACAATGACCACTGTTAGAAAAACTGAGTAGCGACCTCTACATTTACTTCCCAGAACAATATTAAACGAGTTAATGGGCGTTTAACCTTATCCTGTACTTTGTATTTTTATAATGTACATGGAAATCATGCTTACTAATACATACTACATATATAGATATATTGAATATAATAAGATCAATTATACTGACTTTTAAATTAATATTAGTTTTCGAACTTTAAAGAAACGGCCCCAAACTAAAAACCTATTGTTATATATATTGACGCATAGTTGTTTGATTTATAAATCTAATTGCATTAACTAGCTGCTCGGTAGAGTAAACACTCTTCAAATAAATATCATATTTCCAGTTTAATTAAGATATAAAGCAAACAAAAAGTATAAACTTAGAGAAGACTAAAGCGTGAAGTAGGCACGTTATTTTATACAACTAAAAAAATGTTGTAAAGGTTTTGTTTTCTAAGGAAGAATATAATTAAAATGCAATAAAACTTTCATTACAAAAATTGTGTTAATCTGCCCTTGCAGTAAAACCGTCTCTTTCTTGTCTGGCTTCTGAATAACTGTACTTTTTTGTTTTATGTACATATTTACATATACATATACAGTGAGAAAACATGCACAATAAATCTTGGCGCTTTCTAAACACTGATACTTTGTTGTATTCGGGTTTTTATGATACTTCAAGGTTAAATGTGAAATTTTCCTTTTGGATTAATTGTCTAAAGTAACACTGTTTTCAATCTTTTAAGTAATACACTTGTACTAGTTTAATTTACTCGAGGTTCAGATGTTCATGCAAAGCCATATGTATACGTTAATTTATAAGATACTCTGAGGTAGGCTTCTCAATAGATATTTTTATTATACGAATGTGGTAAAAATTTACCTTTAGGTTTTCGTCGATGAGCGCATGATTGTTTACTTCATACACTGAACTTATATATTATCAAGCGCTCATAAGCGATTTTTTACATATATATATTATCAGTTAAATAGTTTTACTCATTTGTGGGACATTAAATTACTTTCGAATGTAGTAGAACATCATTATAAAACTGAAGAGATTACAGAAAAACAAACTTTGAGAATGAAAAAATACAATTAACTTTGGAAAGAAAAGTACTTCATTTGCTCAAATTTCTGCTTCTACAAAGCATCACTTCTGTTTTAATTATTTTTTTAGTTACAAATTTATTGTGACACCAAACAACACATTTTAAGCATAATTTAGACGAAAAATCTCGGAGCTTTTGAAAGACCATAGAATCCAGAAGGCTGCCGAGTAACATTTGTAGCCTTTCATTTTCCCGCCGTGTTGTACGCGTAGACGAAGTTTGAGAATCAAAGTACCGGCAATAAACAAACACATTAAGGACACAACAGTTATTAAGTATGTCTACAAGTCTTTATATAGCCACATTATGACCCTCTCAAATATTTTTCGGAACTCTAAATAAAACTATACATTTTTTTTTGAAAGGGAGAAATAAAATAATGTTAAAAATATTGGGTACATGTTTAGAGTTAAAAAATACACATTTATTTTATACTAATTTAAATGTGTATCTGGAGATCCGTTAGATATGCCAGAAACAATATACCGTTGTATGCAATAGTTAAATTACATTTAAGTATGCAATTTAAATTATTAAAAGTAGTACACTACACTAGAATTAAAATATTTTATTACGTAATTTAACTAATCTGTAGGTCTACAGAGAAGCGCTTGTTATGTCAAGTAATTTTATGCTTTATATTTCTAATTCTAATCTAAACAATCTAATTTACAGTGAACGACGCCTTCCTTATCTCGCATGATTTACCTGGGAGGAAGACTGTAGTTCATGTTTTAATATTTTAATTACATGTTATTAAGAATCTCATCTGAGAATTCATATCTTTTAACGCTGATTTGTCATTGACAGGCCATTATTTTATAACTTTCTTAAACCAGAACACTTCATGTTAACGATGGTGTGATTCAGAGCATACACGTAGTATTGAGCTCACAAGGTCGTAAGAAATAATGAATGGATACCTACCGTTTACAGTCACCACCCTCGTTTCAAGTTCAATCTACACTTTTAGCACCCAAATCGACACTTCTGTTTCTAAAGCTCTCAGTTTTGAGCTACCAGATTCAGTGAAGCACCACCACACACGAGTGCGCGACCGACAGCTTACGTTACAAATGTGTGACGCGAAGAAAGAACCCTGTTGTACACCCTATCAGCCGCCCGCCCCAGAGACGTAACTGGCGTGTAAGCATAAGCCTAGTTATGGGTCGACACAACCAATCTGGTAAGAACTCGCCCTGTGAAAACCACGACAACAACTATTTTCATGTTACACATTCCACATGCTTGGAGGCAAATCTTCCGTCTTTTCTTATTATCCAAATACATTTGGGTTTAAGATTTTTACTTTTGCTATTGCAAACGATAATATAACGAAGGACGTATTATTCTTGGTGCTACATTGTTGCGTGTGCGTATAATTCCAACAATTCGGTTTCGCTTCTGTCGATACAATTCTGATTTTACAGCAACACAATATGATCATTAGAAAAGACTGTTAAGAAATTAAAGCGCAGTCAGTAAGGTTCCATACCTAAAAAGATTTATGAATAAAACCTAATATTTCTTTTATCACTTTAAGATAATTTTGTAATTTATATTTTACAAACGTATAAGACGGACGAGGTAGCATGTTCAAACAGTGAATTCACAGTTCGTGACCCTTTCTCACAAAAAAAACCAAAAAAAACGTGCTTTGCACTATGGGATGGTAGGTGCGTTATAAGAGTTGCGATCAAATCCAAAACGGTCACACAGGAGTAGTCCAACATTTGGTGTTGTGTAATGTTGACTAACAACCTGTCTCCCCTCTAGTCTATCATTTCAAAATTATGGACGGCTATGCGCGAATAGCCCTCGTGCAGCCTTGCAAGAATTATGAAACAAATACGTACATATAGTAAATGATTGGTGGATACATAGGTGTGTAACAAAAGATAAAACCTCGTAGATATATTTACAACTATAAATAATGCGTGAAAAAACGATGTATCTGAATGCAATATGATATCATATCACCGTTGGTGATTTTGAGTATATTGGGTACTAAATGATATCATATAACCAGTGTGTATTTTGAGTGCAAATACACACCATATCACCGGTGGTGATTTTGAGTATACTGAGTAGTAAATTGTATCATATAACCAGTGTTTATTTTGAGTGTAATATGGCATCATGTAACCGGTGTTTATTTCGAGTGTAATATGGCATCATATAACCGGTGTTTATTTTGAGTGTAATATGGCATCATATAAACGGTGTTTATTTTGAGTGTAATATGGCATCATATAATCGGTGTTTATTTCCCTTAGTTTACTCGGAAGTAATCTCAGAAAGAATTTCAAACAAGAATAGAAACTTCACTAGTTCTTAAATCATATGAGCTACTTTTATATTTATACGTATCTATAAAAACACATATTGAAGCTTTATCAACACACTGCTTTAAGTACGTTGTCATTCCTCTACAGGTGACATCATCCTGGTTGATGACAACATTGAGAAAAGAACAAAAACATTCTGTAATAAACAACGGCTGTAACTCGTATGTAGCTTTTGTTTCGACAATATATCTTAGCTCAAAGACTAAAGGTAAAACAGAGATTACTTTAGGGTCATGTCATGTACAGATACTAACAAGACAGTCTCGTATGCACACACGCACAAATACGTTTGGATAAAATGAAATATTTCAATGTAAAATCCTTATTTTTGTAAATGTGTCATATAGCTATCTATTTTTAATGTTTAATAATGTAGAAAGACGACAATCAATCGGTTATTTTAATAATGTAGAAGGACGACAATCAGTCGGTTATTTTAATAATGTAGAAAGACGACAATCAATCGGTTATTTTAATAATGTAGAAGGACGACAATCAGTCGGTTATTTTAATAATGTAGAAGGACGACAATCAGTCGGTTATTTTAATAATGTAGAAGGACGACAATCAATCGGTTATTTTAATAATGTAGAAGAACGACAACCAGTCGGTTATTTTAATAATGTAGAAGGACAACAATCAGTCGGTTATTTTAATAATGTAGAAAGACGACAATCAATCGGTTATTTTAATAATGTAGAAGAACAACAACCAGTCGGTTATTTTAATAATGTAGAAGGACAACAATCAGTCAGTTATTTTAACAATGTAGAAGAACGACAACCAGTCGGTTATTTTAATAATGTAGAAGGACGACAATCAATCGATTATTTTAATAATGTAGAAGGACGACAATCAATCGGTTATTTCCATGCAATTACTTTCATTCACTCTAAACGTCAATAATAAAATAATCGCTGTAACACATGAGTGGTGGTAATAAGTGAACGAAAGGTATATTACAGTAAAATCGACATGAGATCTGGAAGCTTGTTCCCTGGAACGACACCTTTTGCACACAATGGGTCAGGTCCGCAAGTGACTCTCATATGATTCAGGAATAACCGTCTCTAATTTTGAACTGTAGATCAGAGAATGGTAAACACTTGTCAACATTGGTCACCTGAAGTGATTACCACAATGATCGACTATCACTGTTACACCATGTCTCGAACCCGAAACCCTCGGATCTCCAGTTCGATATGTTGACTACTTGCCCTTGCTCGGGTCATGATCTGGAAGAACAATACTGGTTTACGACTCAATAAAAAGAAAACAAATGTTAAGTAACATTTATCCTGAGTTTCACGTAGTTTCAAAAATATATGCCGATTTAATAAAAAATATATTATGTATTTCAGTTTAGAACACGCAGGAGGTTTTGTCATGTATAATGCTTCATTATATAAAAATCCACATGAAAAATTGATCATTATCATTGCAAAAATAGCTTTACATGCGACATTTAAACATTATTTGCCTACATAGATTGGCTTCCTCATGGCCCAGCGCTAAGTCTGGGGTTTTATGGGCTCATAACGCTATAATATTGAGTTTCGATAGACAAAGTGGATAGAGCACAGATAGCCCATTGTGTAGCTCTGTATTTAACAACAAATAAACAATACGTAGGTGGAAATTCAACATTAATATCTTTATCACTGATAATGTCAATTTGTCCCGTTTTCTGTTTGTATTATAAAGAACTTCTGATCAAAACAAGCTAGCTACATATATCAGAGCTAAATTATAACTTAGTAAATAATGAAATTAATGAGTGTTTTCTTTATTTATGTCTAGTTCTCTTTTTGTATGCCTATCCTCTTTCTCATTTTCTTCTGTCTTTCTCTATGCTTTTTCCTGTCTTTCACTTTCTTTGACTTTGTTTTTTTCTCTCTTGTTTATTTCTTTGTATTTCTGTCTGAGTGTCTGTTAATAGTTTTTATTCACTCACTTATTTATATATATATCATACTTTGTGGACTTACCTAAAATATTGAAAAACTAAATTTTATAATTATGTTTCTATATCGAAGTCATCGCGTTAAAGTATGTTAAAGATATAAAAGGCTTTCGTAATTGCATATGCCATAAATATTTATATAAAAAAACAACACAACAGGATCTCCGGCGAGAACAGGCGAGATTTGAAATATTGTGGACAGAATACGAGTTGGTCGTTTTAGTAACTTCCTTAACTGTCGACATTGCCTGGTGTACGCGTAGCACTAACCACCAATAGGCTAGCATAATATCTGTCAGTCATAACTTATTATCAATACAAGGCCACTTTAAAGATTTTTTTTCATCTCTTCCGTTATTTCCGTCCTTGTAGTGAATTGTTGCTGCTTGGTAACATTCGCTTCACTGAGAATAGCAAAAGTTATGAGAGTAATGAATGTATATAGAAGCAAAATCACTTGCGTTGCAGAATATAAGAAATTTGCTGATTCACAATATATCTATAACGCTGAGTTTTAATACTTGAATAATAATTTTCATTATAAAATAAAAGTAATAAGTGAAAAGTCTCTTTTGTCATTGAAACTGACGCTTCAATATTCTTACTTGTTAAATTATCATGAAAGCTATTTAAGGGTTGAAACTTGAAGGAACATGAGGGAATTATTCAACAGCGAAATCATAATTCGTTGTTTCTGAAAGACCAATACTTCTCATATAACAACACAAATGTTTGTAGACAAAAACGAAAATACGGTGAAATTAGGAATGAATCTAGTTGTTACTTCATGATTTTTTTTTTCAAAATTTGATCTTACAATATTTGTTAAAGGGAGTTTATTGATATAACGGTTTCTGTTGTTGGACGGGTTCTTTTTGATTATTCGGTAAAAAGAATTCAAAGTCCAGTTCATTTAACATATAAGGCTTTATATATTTCTTCAACCGAAACGTACAAGTTTTACAGTTTACAGTCGTTGACAGGCCTAACTCAGAAATAAAACTTAACAATCCTTTACTTATAAAATTTCCTCCTGAATCTACAACACAGCCCAAAACTGGTTAAGTAATGTACTCAGTAATTGATCGATAACACGGTACAATATTCACTAATCAACTGACTGACTCACTGACCGAATTAACTCTCACTCTAACTAACTAGCTCACTCTGGTGTTTTCATACGTTTTTCACATATTTCCTGAAGATTAGAGACGCCACTTCAGGTCTAGACATTAAGGAAACTTCTAGACGTCATACAAAAACAGCCCTCTAGCAACCAAATATCTAAATTAAAATATTAAACATACCTAACAATATCATTACAGCGAATTTGAAACTTAGAAGAAATGGTTTGCCTTTTTATACTTTTGTTAAAAATATAGAAAGGTTTAAAAACTATTTCTGGATAAACAGAGAGGGATTGTTTATTATTGAGTATTGGAAGGTTTAATAGTTATTCTTATATTTTATAATGAAATAACTTATTTCTGAACCTCATAATATTTAACTGTTATCATTGCATGTCTAGAAAAATATCATTAGTTGCATGCTGAGCTTTATTTTAATAAATGATTCTTGATCGTGTCATGATAATTTAGTTTTATAATTGATTATTGAGCTTTAAAATATTCAACATTTAGTTTTAATGCAAGTAGAGTGAAGTTCGTGATTATTGAGCGTTAAAATATTTAGTTGTTTGTTTGGAATTAAGCACAAAGCTACACAATGGGCTATCTGTGCTCTGCCCACCATGGGTATCGAAACCCAGTTTCTAGCGTTATAAGTCTGCAGACATACCGCTTTGCTACTGGTGGTTAAAATATTCAACATTTAATTTTAATGTAAGTAGAGTGAAGTTCGTGATTATTGAGAGTTAAAATATCTTAAATTTAATCTACAGTTAAATAACCGATTGCTGTGATGTAAGTGTATTTCTCATTACTAGTGCCATGGTGACCTGTCCGAAAGACCAGTATCAGGAGTTCCAGCTCAAACTGTAATTATAAATAAAATTTAACAAATAATGTAATGATTCTAATCTA